CCAGCCCCGACGTGAGCCTTGGGTCAGAGAGCTGGGAAAGAGCGGTGTGAGAAAGGGCTGAGAGGAGTCGCTTGGGAGCTGCAGTTAGGCTCAGTCTCTCGCCCTTGGTGCCTACGTGAGCCATGCTGCAGGTACGCCTGTGCCTGAGGTCGATCCTGATCCAGACCTGCTGACTTGACTTGCTGGCTTCATCTTGGACTGCATCACTACAGACCTGCCGGGCAGTTTGGACTGTAGATGACCCCAGTTACTGTCAGCAGTCCTGCTCTGCTCCATTCCTTTGGGTACTGTGGGACTCTTGTTGGGGAGGACAGCATACTTGCCTGCCCTGCTGTCACCTTTGGCTCCTGGCTCGCCTTCCCTTCTGGGAGCAGCACACTCTTGCTGCTTCCTCCCAGTGCACTTACCGTGATGATTAAACATATGTATCGTGCTCTGAGATCTGGTGTTACACATGACAGCTGGGACACAAGAGTCTCTAACTATCCCGCAGGAAACTGGAAATCAGAAAATTGCAAAGATGTCTGGCAAAAGCTTAAAAACATTTCCATTTCCCACAAAGGCTCTGAGAGGCTTTGAATGCCAAAATCCTTTACAATGCTAAGTTTCAAAAAATGTAATTCCCTCTGCAAACAGGAATGCATTTGCCACAGCTCTGAAGAAGAGGCTTAGCATAATAGGACAGTCTCAGATACTAATGGAATCAGTGAAGATACAAATAAGGTAGGGATTAATCTAAATGTCTAGTAAGCCTATCATTAGGAGGGCCTTATACACAACCCTGAATTGAGAATGATATGGAAATTACCAGCGATCGAGCCTCTTCTTCCTTCAGCCGCTTCATCTCCTCTTTGTGAGCACTGAGCACCGCTACCTGGGCACTGAGCACATTCAGGATTTTCTGATTCTGTTCTGCTGATTTCTGCATCTCCACCGCCTCTCGCTTTTCCTTAGCCAAGCTATCCTCTTTCCAAAGCTCTGCAAACATCTGCTCCTCCTTCTTCTGTTGCTTTTTCAATTCCTCCTTCAGAGCTACCTGGGCCAGCTGGTCTTCACACAATTCCTTCTGATGCTTCTTCATCCGCTGTACACGAAGCTCCTCGCATTGTTCTCTGAAAGGCAACATAAAAGTTAAAAAAAAAGTCTCAAAATAATAAGCAAGTCTGGGGGCGTGTCAGGCTCCCAGTTTGTAACTATTCAGAGGACCACAGCTCAGGATGCCAAATTCTACACCTGATCTGACACTTGACTCCTTGTGAGGCCTAAGGAATCACAGAGAGCCTGACTTGTTGGAGATTTTGACCTTAATCAGTTGAAGAGCAGGTCCTATATTTGTACTTGTAAAAATAATATATATACACATGCACAATATATAAATATTTTATATATACAAGGTGTGTTTTATATATGTAGTTGGAACATGCGTTGTGTGCAGTTTTTTATACATACAATTTTTTTTAATATATAAAACACATGCATACTACGCTTGTTCAAACATGTAGGCTGCTCTTTATTCAAATGAAAACTTAGAATGGGTTTACTAGTCACTTGAAAGCTCATTCGTATTCAGAAAATACTCACAGAGCAGAAATTTAGGTTACACAATTGAAGAGAAACCATTAGAAATTTATTAATTTTTAATGAATTTTAGTGGGATAATTCAGAAAAGTTGCAATAAGAGTCCGTAGAAGCTAGAAAGTCAAACAGCAGCTTTCAATTTTCATTTACTCACTGCAACTGAGTTGCATATAAAAAGGTATTTATCTTCAGTTGAAAAACACTCAACTATTTACAGATTCTGCTTTTATTTTTGCAAACACAGCACTATTGAGATCAACATATGCTATCAAACAATATTTAATTTGAACAATATACAAGCATTTTAATTCTGTTCTATAACCAGAATACAGATTTTCATAAAATCAAAATGTGAAACTAGCAGACAATGGTGAAGATCTACAAGCGTTAAGGATCTGTAAGCTCTAAGGATTTGTGACAGATACACATAAATGCTGTGAAGTAAAAAGATATCTCACAATTTCATGCGCAATGAAACCATCTTCTACAGATTATTGCAATGCTATTTAGGAATTCATAGCAGACATCATAAGATATCATTGACTGAATCTTGAGCCACTGCATAACAGCAGTAGTTACCTGCACAACGTGAAATACTATTACTTTATAGCATGTTTAGCTGACAATCCTGTGTAGCAAAAATATTAAATATTCATCAAGCAACTATCTCATAGTACTATCATTCTCCACATCAGGACAGTTATTTAAATTTCATAACTACAGCAGTGAAACAAAATCTGAATGAATTCCATTGCAATTTTTTTTTTTTTTTTTTTTTTTTGCTTAACAGCAAAATTAAGTTTGCCAGCACTAAAAATAGATATTTGATGGTTTGCTTTTTCAGGCTCTGCTAAGGATCTGTCTTTGCAAAGTCTTCACTTTTCTAAATGATTCCTAAGTCCAATAGCTGCTGTCTCCATCTAAACCCACGTCTATACTCCCTGACCTGGGTTTCATGTATAGAATTAATAGGAGCGTTATTCTCTATAGCAAAATTAAGTTTGCCAGCACTAAAAATAGATATTTGATGGTTTGCTTTTTCAGGCTCTGCTAAGGATCTGTCTTTGCAAAGTCTTCACTTTTCTAAATGATTCCTAAGTCCAATAGCTGCTGTCTCCATCTAAACCCACGTCTATACTCCCTGACCTGGGTTTCATGTATAGAATTAATAGGAGCGTTATTCTCTATCTGGGGCCATGGGTTCAAACCTCAACAGAGGGTACAGAAACGATGCAAATTTGGCCTCTCCCTGAGGTCAATGGCTCTATCCGCTGTCCATGAGGCAAACAGGGAAAAGTTTAGCAACACAGGATGTGACTGGTGGTCTATAACTCATTTCTGCCCTAAAACTAGTAAGATTATGCTCTAGAATACTGCTTCTTTACTTGACACTGCTTCTTTGTCACCTCCCGCTCACCTCCTGCTAACAAGCACAGAATGAGTGCAGCTTCTGGTATCATTAATATGTGGCTGAGGCAATTACCAGCATGTAATAATTATGTGTTGGCTTACAAGATCTTCCAAAGCTTTACCAATAAAACTCCATGCTAAGCCTAATAAAAATTACTTAGGGCTTATAAACCGCAAAGAGCATTTCCCCGAATAGCCCTCCTCCAGTTCAGAACCGGCTGAACAAGCCACTGACAGACGGAAAAAGTGACAGTGCCGAAAGCCAGCTTGACCCTGTTCTCAGTGCCACAGCGAGAGCCATCCAACCAGTCAAACTTAGAGTGGAGCGGTGCAGAATCAGAGCTGTGTCTGCGGAGGGGGAAGATTGCTACATCTCGCTCTCCCTTGGTGCTGCAGGAGTGAGATACAGCCAAAGAACAAAGAATGCTTGACCTGTAATTTCATGCAGAAGCAGAGGTCTCACTGCATTTTCTTGTTGTCAGCATTCACTGTTTGCTGCCTCACATTTCAGCTGTAAGTTTCTGGGGCCAAGGGCATCTCTCTCTTCATCCTCTATTTGTAAAGAACCTAATGCCATGGAGGCAGTGGTGAAAGGTGCTAAGCACTATACACAAACGATAAAAGGGAGAGCAGTGCCATGAAAATAAAATTCTCATTTTACTTGAGATCCAGAAGGCATTTCTAACCTCTTAACTGTTCCTGACTGAGAAGAAACAACAGTAATCTGCCAAGTCCCCTTTCATTAACATCAAGTCTCCATAAGATAAAACCTCCCGCACGCAGCACTTTTCTCCCCCAATCCTAGGACACGCCACATCCTCTAACCAAATGTTGCATTCTTCCCCAAAAGTTGGGCTTGTATCCTGTAAAGGAGAAACTGTCCCTGGAATGAGGAACCATCCTCAGCTCAGGTCTTCAGAGGAGAAGGGTGAGGAAATACAAGAACGAAGGAGCAGGCTAGTGGAAAGGGATGGCTGTTTTACCTCCTTGTATGAGACAGGAACCTTCTGATCGATCATTCATTGATTGTCCCAACAACGAAAGCAGAGAGCAGCACAGCAATGTGCGTGCCGTGAGTCACGGCACGCTCCAAGAGGTGCCCCTGCCTTCAAGTAGGTCAACAAACATACTACATCATCGCCAGTTTTCTTACATTTTAACACTGGGATCTGTCTTCCAACTCCTGGGTAGGACTTGGTGATGATTAAAGACTACGGTACTAATTAGTATTCATGAAAAACGTATTTCTCAAATGTTCTGAGGGAAACATGCCATTATTAAGATTTTAAATCTTACACCATTAGAAATAACTGTATTACCTTAACACAATGGGTTCAAAGTTCTCTCAGCAGTGAAGGAATAAAGAAGTAGTTATTCTTTTTCATGATTATAAACTAATCTGAATTTAATTGAATTCCCAGAGGGGAAGAGAAGTTAAATAAAAGTTTGGCATGGTTAGAATTTTAATAGAAAATAACCCTGTAATTGCTTGATTTCATCAAAATAATTCCTTCAAAGCAGCTCTTACAGCAACCTATAAACATCTGCTCCCCCAGATGGCTGTTTTTCTTCTTCACTTTGCTATCCTAAGCTTCTTAACATTAAATTGTGCCTGTATGTAGCCACTTCCCAAAGACAGAAACTGCATTTATTCTCCCCCCCACCCCCCACCCCAGTTATTTATTCATTTTATGGCTGCAGTACAAAGTTGCTGTGATGACAACATTCTCTGTATGGATGCTTCAGATGTTATCCCAGGAAAGAGGATGTAATATGTGTTTTATGCAAATTTTAAGACATTGCAATTTTCTTTAAAGATACCAATGCTGAAGATGCCCTTGGGCTAAAACTGGCTGAATATTTTCTCATACAAGTTGTAGCCCTTCATGAAAATGAATTCCAGAGGGACTCTGGTGGCCCAAGGACTGTGCCCTCTGTCACCTTAGGACAAAGGACTCCTCCTGGCTAACATCGCCACTGAGAAGCTGTTAAGTCTACACCCTCAGGCTACAGCTCCAAACCCAGCCCACAAGGCTATAAAAGAGCTGCCTTTTAGTACTCTGGAATAAAGTACTGGAGCACTGTACACTATAGGTGCTCCTATATCTCAGGTTTGAGAACCTATACCTGCAAAAGAGTGGAGCGCCTTGCTTAAAGTTAAAAGAAATACAAAGAAGTCTGTATTAGGTTTCAGAAAGACATTCAAAATAGTGGCAAATTCACAGGCAAAGAGAAGCAGAAAATGATGTGTATATCCACCTGTTACTGAAATGACCTCCCGGGCCTCCTCTGGGTGTGCCTTAGAGCAATGGTCTCTGAAGTGGGGTGTGCAAGACAATCCATTGGGGTGCAGGAAGAAAATATTTTTTGTACCATTAATAAATAACATAAAAATAAAAATTGTGTTTATTTCATCTTTGCCTCACCCTCTTTTAATTTCTATTTTTGCATATGTTTTATAACGTACGTAATATACTAGTACAGTAGTACAAGTATATAATTTATAAATAAGTAAACATATTGGGGGTGAGTATTAAAAATTTTTTTTACTGATAGGGGTGCACAATCAAAAAGGTTTGGAGACCACTGCCCTAGAGGGCAGGTTGTGACACAATTACAGATTTCTGGTTGTGGATCTTCAGTAAGTGTTGGTTTCCTGAGCAGCAAAGCCTGCTCCCAGATCTCTGCATGGACCAGGATGGTTTAGGAGGAAGAGTAACAGCTAACAGTGGGGGAAAAACAGATTTGGGGCTACTTAAAGACGACAAATACATGCAGGTTCAGATATCAGAAATTACTAATCTAATCAGAATCAATCACCACAGTAGAGACTTCTTTTCTCATTGGAAAAGGACAGAGACAAGACATTTTAAAGAGCTTAAAATATTACTATGCATACACATGAAGAAAGGTATCTGTCTTTCCAAGGAGAGATCAACAGACAAGGTGAACTGTTGTCAGCTGGTGTTATTAAAGTTTTGGTTTTTTATAGGGACCTTAATTTAAAAGTAGAAAGAGATGGAGCTCGAGGAACGGAGGGAGTTAGAGGAACTATGGAAATGTATTTCCACTACATCAGGACACTCAAAGAGAAAGACTCTGTGCACTGTAGGGTGAAGATTCATTTGCAAAGATACTCAAAGATTGCCACTCACAACAGCTGTGAAGAAAGATAATTTTACTGCCTCTGAATCATCTGAAAAACTGCAGCCAGCAGAATGCCACCAGTAAAGCTCCAGCAACACTTTTTATGGGATACTTTGTGGTATGAATATTGCTTAGATCCAAAAGCAGACTGGGAAAGGTAGAAGGATGATGGGAATGATCCCACAAGACTGAGTGAACCATATATCAATAGGGTTGTACCGGGAAGAAAAGAGGACCTGAGACATTAAGACAGGCAACTGCAGCATGAAAGTCCAAATATGTATTGCCAGATGATGAGATTCACTGGTGGGATTCATTTTGCAATTAAAATATCTAAAATTAGGCACCTAAACAGGAATCTACATGTGAGCTAAATTCCCATTCTCATCAATGGGAACCTAATCAATGGAGTCAGTGGAGGCTAGGGTGCATTTCAACTGGCAGACCAGTATATGCCTACTTTAGGATGACATTAGGTTCCTTTAACTGTCCTGATCTCAATGAAGATCTACTGAGTAGAACACGACTTCAGATTCCCAGTGAATATAAAGATACCAACACTTAGACACCTACCTTTAGGTGTCTAAATCACAAGCTGAAGCCCTTCTCCTTGGCATGTAAGACAAGCTACACGTACAAAATAAAAGGCACTCCAGCAGTGTCTCCTCTAAACAATTTTAAACATGAATTTCAACCGCTTTGTATGGGCAGAGGACAAACTAGGAATTGTAAATTGTGAGGCCCATATTTTAAAGCCAGCATGTGAATTTAAAAGTGCATACCCTGCCTTAGCACCTGTCTCAGTCAATAAACCCCACATTTAAGAAACCAACATTTATCTGTGAAATTAGTTAATTAGCATTTATGCACAAGTGAAAGCAAGTGTTGATTTTTATCCCCAGCCTCTACACACGGAGAAGCAGGTGTTGTGGATTTCCATAGCCCTGTGGGAGACTGGGAAGAGACACTTCAAATGATTACAATTAAATTACATTAATATTATTTTTCATCTCTTCCCCAGAAAACCAGATTTCCAAGAATTGAACAAGTCATTTCACGCCAAGGCCTCAGGGCCTGATAAGCACCTGCAAATCTTAATGACTTCAAAAGACGCTGCCAAGAGCTCAGCATCCAGGAAGACTTGGCACAGAACTTCAGGTTGCATTAAAACCTTAGCTTCAGCTGGTACTCTTGAAAAGTATGCAATAAATAAAAACACTGTCTTTTTGGACAATTTTAGCTTTTCAAGGATCTTTGACATATTAGCTTAATAAGCATGATTTAGGCCAAGTTAACCTTCTGTGAACCCTTTTCACTCCAATAGTATAAAGCTGAAATAGAAGTATACACCAGAACAAGAAATTACAAAAACAGCCGACTTGGCAGGTCAAAGTGCAGGGATGCTCACACAGGACAAGGAGATTTGCACTACACTTGGAAGAACGTTTTCATGGTATCTCAACACTTAAATCAAATAGTGGAGACAGTGCAGTTCTCTGTACCTGTTGCCTTCATCTCTATTAATTAAAATTTTTCTCACACACTTTACCGAGCATTACAGCATTGCAAATTTGGATCCCTCGTCTTTAGAGGCTGCACCCCTTCATCAAAAGTCAGAAAAAGACTATACTCTGCCCCACTGCATGCAACATAGCTGAGGCCTTTCAACTTCTGGCCAAGCTCATACGCTTCTATCCAAACCACCTTAATTTATTTTATTTTATCATTTCAATCACATTCACCTTTCCTTCCTCAGTTTATTATTGTCACCTTCTTCTCAAATTGCCTCTTTGTATTTACTTAACCCAAGTTCTATTTTACAAGATACCTGAATTGCTGCTCTCGTTTTTCAGCCACCAGTTGTTGCCTTTCTTTTTCTCTCTTCTCTCTCAGTAATTTTGCTCGCTCCCTCATTTTCTCTTGTTTCTCCAGTACCGTTTCTTCAAGTGACTCCATCTCAGCAAAGTACCTACTTTCCTCTGTCTCCAGAAGCTCACGAAGCCTGCAATGATAACATTTAAATAAAAGCTAAAACAATCCTTCTGTTGAATGATAACGTTCTAGTTTATTTGTTATGAGCGCAAAATGGGTACTGGGCTCCTTTCAACACTTCTTGCAAACACCAAAGAATGGACCATCCAAGGAAACACCACATTTTAATTCGGGGATCACTCCTGTTGTGCCTAGGAAGGGGATCTTACAGCACAACACAAGTGATTCTGTCCTGGCACAATTTAACCTCATCGTACAAACCCATATCCAATGCTGCTTTACAACTTCAGTCTCCCATTAAACAAATTCTTCTAATTTCCAGACTACATTTGTCACCAATTGATATCTATTTGATCTTGTACTATTGTTATCCTTCAGTGTAATCCCTCCCTGGTATTTACCACCCTTCTCTACTCATCTATAATTGTATCTTCTCTCAAACTACCTTTTGTTATGTTAGCATCACTCTGTAAGCCACTTTATCCTGAAAGATCTTTGATGAGAAAATTATGTCAGATTGGCAATTTTTAAACACACCACCATTTACCTCTCTATTAATCCTAGCAGCAAGAAACCTGGGGCGAAGGAATCCAGAAACTCACTAATTCCAGCCCGAACCCCACAGTGGCCTCTGGGAAATCACTCTCACTTTTATGCAATGGTATGACCCTGCTACTGCATGAGCAATAGTGCTATGGGCCTACGCTGGCTCTGCTGGTGGGAGTTACAGCAGCAAAGCCAAAGACTGACTAATTCTGGAAACTGAATTGCACTCTCTTCACCATGTACTGAGCCGAGTCTCCCTGCAAAGACAGCATGGGGATCTTAAGCAGTTAAATAAGAACAAAACCCATGAAGTTCAACAAAAATCCTGCACCTGGAGAGGAATAACCCACGCTGGCGGCCGTCTGGCTGGGAAGTGGTTCTGCAGAAAAGGACCCGGGGGTCCTGGCAGACAAGCTGAATGTAAGCCAGCAATGCACCCTTGCGGCAAGGAAGGCCAACAGCATCTTGGGCTGCATGAGGAAGAGCACTGCCAGCAGGTGAAGGGAGGTGATCCTTCCTCTCAGCACTGATGAGACCTCATCCGGAGCACTGGGTCCAGTTCTGGGCTCCCCAGCACGAGAAAAATACAGACTTAGTGGAGCGAGCTCAGTGAAGGGCCACTGAGATGAATAAGGGACTGGAGCATCTCTCCTGTAAGGAGAATCTGTCCTAAAGATCTCTCGCACCTGAGAGAGCTGGGACTGTTCAGCCTGGAGAGGAGGAGGTTCAGGGGGATCTTACCAATGTATATAAATACCTTAAGGGAGGGAATGCAGAAAAGGGAGACAGCTTCTTCTCGGTAGTGCCCAGTGACAGGACAAGAGGCAATGGGCACAAATTAAAACATGTGAAATTCCACCTGAACACAAGAAAACGTTTTGGTTTTGTTTTTTTTTTTTTTACTGTGAGGGTGGTCAAATACTGGAACAGGTTGCCCACAGAGGTGGTGGAGTCTCCATGTGTGGAGATAAGCAAAACTCAACAGAGTCCTGGGCAACCTGCTCTAGGTGACCCTGCTTGAGCAAGGGTCTTGAACTAGATGATATCAGGAGGTTCCCTCCAACCTCAGTGATTCTGTGCAATTGGTGTACAATTCCTGTTGTATGAAGACACATCAGACCGGGATACCAAACTGATGACTTACACAGTTCCAAAGTCACTTTAAATAAAAGCATAACTGAGAAATTAAACCATATGATTTTTTTCTAAGATCAGCCCAGCACAATTCTGTTCTTTACAAGACAGTAATATGCCTCACCTTTATTATTTTTGACAGTCTTCTGACAAATTTTCATTTCTTTCAACTGCCTGTGCTGCAAAGTATTACTTGTAGGACCTAAACGTTAACTTAATGAGGTTGCAACAAAACCGTCAGTTACACCCAACAATTAGAGCTTCTGACACTTTTATAAAGTACTCTTCATTCTCTTTAAAAATCAAGCCATGGAACTGCTATAATATTACTTTTATCTTGCATTTGGCAGACAAAGCTCTAAATGCCACCTAAACTGCTCTAGTTACTGTGTTTGAATATGTATCTCTAGTGATTGGCTCAGTGATTAGTACTAATAACAAGAGCCCAAAGGCTACTGTTTGCTCTACATTGCTGCTTGACCGCCAGTTAAGCACACCTATGCTTTCTGTTACGATGAATAATGAATACCATACCACATGCACAGTGTAACGTACAGAGCTGAGCTCAACTGAGTCTTTTTCCCATAATCATTCGTCTAAGTATACAATTTAGTTGAAAATAGTAGGGCAGATATTGGTATTAGCTACTTGTTTGCTACCTCTCTCGTCTCTCATCAATCCCTGCCAGATACTCCTGCATTGTTGCATCCACCTTTCTCTGCACAGCTCTGTGCAGCCATTTTTGTTCGTTGCGTTGCTGCCACTCATAGACCTTGCGATACTGGTTGTACAGCTTTAAGAAATCAGCATTTTCGAGAAGTTCCTTTTCTTTCTGTCTGCGGGCCAAGACAAAACTGTCACTTTTTTGTTCTTTAGGAGGCTTGGCTCTCTGTAAGAGAAAGCATATGTCAGTGGTGAAAATATAATCAGTTATTCTGTTGCGGTTTTTTTTCAGTTGAATTCATGACCAGATAAGTACATAACACCAAATTATGAGAGTTCAGGGTAATTAAGGGTAAATCCCAACAAGCCTTGCCTTGAAGAGCACACCACCGGTACAAGAACACAAAATGGCTTCAAGTGCCAGCACTTGCCTGTGGCCCAGGCTATGGTTTACATCTTACCCTGTTCATCCGAGAGGATGGTTATGGTCTGCTCTTCACATACTCAGCAAACGTTCTCACCAGAGGTAACCTCCACCCCTCCCCCCGCCTCCCTCTCCGGCACAGCTCCCCGGGGCTCCGAGCGCCTCCTCACACACTGCCGCACCCCACGGCGCACAGGCCGGGTACCCCCAAAGGGGCGACCTCGCCCCGCACGGGTACCGTAGGACCGGCTCCC